AGGTCCAATTTTGGCTCTTGTGGACTTGCTTTAATCTTCTTCTACTTCAGTTTGAACTTGAATGTGAGTAACTGATAGTCTGTTCTACACTCAGCACCTGGCCTGCTATTGATTGCTGTTACTGAGCTACTCAATAATGATTCTTCCTAAAAAAAAATAAAATAAAAAAAATAATGATTCTTTCTACAGATGTAGTTATTCAAATTCCTACGCAGTACATGAAATGAAGTCCATGTGTATAGATAGATGCCATCTGTGTTACATAAAAAATTGTTTGCCATAATTCAATGTACAAAATTCAATCATTCTATCTCCAGCCTCATAAGTACCAAGAAAAGCCCACTTTTTCTTGTCAAAGGGCCAAATTAGCAGAAAGGCCCTGTAGGACAATACCTTTTTGTGATAACCATACTATTCCAGGTTGTTACTGCTGCTGTTGTTGTTGTTGTTGTTATATGCCGTCAAGTAGCCTGAGACTCATAGCAACCCTATGTACAACAGTCCTAATTCCTGCTCTATGTGTTGTATGCATCATAAAAGGAGTCTTGGTATTTAAAGAACTGGATAAAATGTGCTGTTGCAATACTGAGACTGAGTCCTATTAGTCATTCCCATCCACTAACAATGATATCATAAAAATGCTCTGATGAGCAAATGTAAAAATCAGAAGTCTCATAAAAGGAACAGAAAATATTAATAAAGACCAAGCAGAAATTTTACAAGGAAAAAAAAAGAGTAACTAAAACAGAAACAACAACAACAAAAAACAACAACACACTGAGTAAGTTAAAAATAAAATAATGACAAAGAATCAGTGAATTTGAAGAATACTACAAAATTAATCATTCTGAATAAAGAAAAACTACATAGAAGGAAATAACAGGTGTCCCCAGCACCTGTGAGATTATAACAACAATAAAAATTGAAGCCTCATAAGAAGAAAGAATATATTGCTTAAGATATATTTAAAGAAAAATGTTTGAAAGCCTCCAATGGCTGGAAAATATAACCCTACAGATTTAGGAAGTAGAGGAAATTAAAATTCATGTGGAAATATACCCATCCAATTTCTGAAAGCCAAAATCAAATTTTTTAAAACTTTAAAAGCAGCCAGAAAGACATGATGCATCAAATAGAGGAGGAGAAGTCAGATAACAGCAGATTCTCATCAGAAAGCATATGGTTTAGTAGGAAATGGCATACGATATTCAAGTGCTGAAGAAAAGAAACGTCAATCTAGAATTTTACACTCAACAAAAATGTTGAAATGAAGAGAAAGTCAGTACATTGTCTGATAAGGAAAAACCTAAGATGTTGTTGTCAGTATATCTGCATTAAAATGAGTTGCTACAGGAAGGCTTTAAATAAGAATTCAATGACAACTACAAAGCAAGCAAGCAACAAAAGGAATAAAATTTCTGCATAAATAGGTTATTCTCTCTTGATTATTTAAAGATATGTTTGATATTTTAAAGCAAATATTATCTGGTGGTGCTATCACTAAACATAAAAGTAACTTCAATATAAAACTAACTGGTAGTTGTAATTGTTTTCTATATTTATGTTAATAGACTGGGATAAGTACCATCTCCAGAACACCTGAGCTGGGCATTTCATTCTATTATTCATATGGGCTGACGTGCATCATTGGCTGTGATGTCATGGGTTTATTTTTCAAAATGGGTTTCCTAGACGTTGTATTTTATTTCACTATGTATGAGCAAGAGCCTGTGGTGATGAAGGAGGAAGTTCAAGCTGCTCTGAAAGAACTGGCAAAAAACAAGGCCCCAAGAAATGATGGCATACTGATTAACATTTTACAACAGATGCTGCCCTGGATATGCTCACCAAGTTGAGCCAAGAAATCTGAAGGACAATCACCTGGCCTACTGACTAGAAGAGATCTATATTTGCTCCCATTAAAAAGAAAGGTGATCCAACAAAGTATGGAAATTATCAAACAATACCATTGATTTCACATGCAAGCAAGATTCTGATGAAGATTATCCGAAAATGACTGGAACAGCACATTAACAGAGAACTGCCTGAAGTGCAGGCTGGATGTAGAAGAGGCCGTGGCACTAGGGATATTATTGCTAATGGCAGATGGATCTTGGTTGAAAGCAGGGAGTACCAGAGGAATGTCTATCTGTGTTTCATTGACTATGCAAAGGCTTTTGACTGTGTGGATCACAACAAACTGGCTGACTCTGAGAAGAATGGGAATCCCAGAACATTTGAATGTGCTTATGTGAAACCTATACTTGGACCAAGAGGCGATCGTCAGAACAGAGCAAGGAGACACTGCAAGGCTCAAAATTGGGAAGGTGGTCCGCCAAGGATGTATTCTGTCTCCATACCTTTTCAATCTGTATACAGAAAAGATCATCTGGCATACTGGGCTGTATGAGGAGGAATGTGGCATCAGGATTGGTGGAAGATTCACCAACAACCTATGTTATGCAGATGATGCAACCTGGCTTGCTGAAACTGAGAAGGACCTGAAGCACTTGCTGCAGAAGGTCAAGAACTGCAACTTTCAATACAGATTGAAGCTCAACATCAAGAAAACAAAGATTCTCACCACTGGGCCAATTGGCAGCATCAGGACGGATGGCGAAGAGATTGAGATAGCTAAGTTTTAGTTTGCTTAGCTTCACAGTCAACACTCTTGGTACTTGCAGCCAGGAAATAAGAGACGAACTGCATTTGGAAAGTCAGCTGTCAGGGAGCTCCCCAGAGTATTGAAGAGCAACGACATCAGGCTGGAGACTAAGGTCACCTGATCCGGGCCATAGTCACTACAATTGCATGCATCAGAGAGCTGGACAGTGACTAGGGATGATAGAAAGAGAATTGATGCCTTTGAACTGTGGTGCTGGAGAAGAATGTTGAATATACCATGGACTGCTAGGAGAACAAACAGGTTTGCACTGGAGAGGGTGAAACTGGGATGCTCCTTAGAGTCAAGGATTCTGAAGCTCTGTCTGACATACTTTGGGCATGTTTCAAGGAGGGACCAGTCCTTGGAGAGGGACATAATTTTTGGGAGAGTGAAGGGACAGCACAGGAGAGGAAGACCTTCGATGAGATGGATCGATTCAATGATTAAGGTAGTTGAAATAGGGGTATCAGAGACAATGAGGTTGGCACAGGATAGAACAGGATTTAGAGTTTTTAAAAATAGGGTCACTATGAGTCACAAACAACTCGATGGCACATAACAAAAATTCAGATAAACCCATTGCCCTAGTTTTATTTTAAAATATGGCAATTAAAAACAATTATGATAAGTTATTAATAAATTACTGAATATATACTAGTTTGTATAAATAGTAAGTATAGAACAATTATACTTCGGCATATTGTAAAATATCTAGGGAATAAAAAAGAATATACATGAAACTAAAATGCAATAGCATAAGTTGTGAATATGAGACTATATATTTTATAGAATTAGAATCAGTGATAGAATTAGGGGTTAAAATTAATAAGTGATAAGATGATCTGATTTATCATCTAGATGATATCTGAGACTCTAGGATGAGAGTAAATAAAAATAATTTATAAAAAAAAAACCCAAAATACTGAACTATGAGTTCTCTATAGGCATCATCATATAAGGAAATCGAACCCAAGACAGGCTTTGAATAATGGTAGAACTCAGAAAGTTTAAGGCAGAATTGAGAGTATTCCATGAAGAAAAATGAAGCCCCTACTGAGAGGTAGGAAGATTCAAGAGCCAGATTCAGCCTAATTTGAACAACAGAACTTCATTAGGGAATTGTGGGAGGAAAGGCTGAATGGATTTTATGGCACCAAGTTTTAGAGATTTTCCAAAGTTATACAGAGGACCTTATATTATATATGCTAGAAAGTAACCATTCTAGCCATTGTTAACCTTTTTACTTTGTGAAATATCTATTCTATTGAGGAGAAAGGATTAGGAAGAGATACAAGTCTCACCCTACTAGAGGCCTGTAAAAGCTCATGGAAGCTTAATACTTACTCTTATTTGGGATGCTGGCTCTCCAGAGACACAGCACATAACTGCACTAAACGTGACAGTTACAGGATCCTGGTTCAACCATTCACCAATCTCTGTAACAGTGGCCTGCGTCACCCAGTTCTTTCTCAGAAGGGTCTAAGTTTCTGTGAGGCCTTCCAGCTAACCACAGAACCCAAGGGACACAAAGGAGGTGGGGAAATGAAGGAAAGAGGAACAGGTGATGTCAGAAATCATGGAATGGATTTCTGCAAATTAAACATTTGAGACTTTGTTGACTTCTACCTTTTAGCAACAAGTCTGCAACTAATCTTAGCAGAATGGATTGTAAATGTAATTACTTAAAGACAAACAGAAGGATGTCCTTCAGTATTAAAATACCAGTATTTTTTACCTACTATCAGTCCTTGGGAATTCTGGTGACATAGTCCATAATGTGTTGTGCTGCTAATAACTTGGCCGAACATCTCGGGTGGTTTGAATCTATGAGTAGCAGTTATGAAAGAGAAAGGTGGACAGTCCCCTCCCATAGGGACTTACAAATTTACACAGATTTGCAGCCTCAGAGACCCTGGGGAAGGTCGCAAGGAATTAGGATCCATTCAGTAGTTGTGAGTCTGGTTTCTGTTATTAATTTCTTACAAAAATATGCAACTAATTTGACATGGTAACAACTGTTAAACATGTTAACAATTTTTAAAAAGTATGTCTTAGCTGGATTTAAATTTTAATATTTTAACTACTTTATGCATCCTTTAGAGTCATGTTCAAATAAGGTTTTTCAGAAAGACAAATAGTAGAGAAAATACACATTCTTCAAGAGGTTGAACGGCCTCATAAATCTGGAACTGGTTGAACTAATACATTAAGAAGACAGTAAGAAAGGTTCAAGCAGATAATTATTGAAAATGCTTTGTAAAGATGGAGAACCATGTGTGTTGCACACTCCGCATTTATGATGGCACATCTGGGACGGCTCATCACTATAACTTACCCCAGTTTTATCACACAAACGTAAAGTATGAAATGATCCAACAGCAAATAATTCTCCATCTGGAGCCCAAGCAACTGAAGTAATAGGATGCTCATGAGGTTGTGAACTGTAGAGCAGGCGACCATAACTATCCCACACCTACAAAAGCAAATTATACTTTATTACAAACAAGTTTGTCTTCTAGTAAAGTATCAAACAGATCAGTGGAAATTATGACTTTATAATATGGTCAATTAAGCATTATTTAATGGCACTTTCATTTATTGAAACCTATGTATTGCAAAATACATTTTACAGTAATATTGTTAATTTTCAGATTTCACTAAATCTTTCACTAAACATAAAACCTAATCATTTTAAGTTCTGAAATTTAGTATTTTTAGCAATAAGAAATGGGCAAAAGACTTCTTAGATATTTTGCCAGGGATAACACATTAATGGTCAATAAACACATGAAAAGATGTTAATCACTAGTCACTTCTTGTTGTATACTGTCAAGCTGGACATGACTCAGAGCTGAGCCTACAGTGGACTTAAACTGCATATCTTTGGATTGCTGTCTCAGCTACTAACTATTAAGCCACCAGAGCTCCCCAGTTAGTTGCTGCAGTTGTGTGCATGGAAGAGACTGTCCATCTTTCTCCCTCAGAGAAGTTGGTGTATTTGAACTGTCTACCTTTTGTGTTGGCAGCACAATTCCACCAAAGCTCCCTAAGTAGTCACTGTTGTTGTGTGCCATCAATTTGGAATTGACTCATAGCTGACCATCCAGTGGGTTTTCAGAGGCAATAATCATATGGAAGAGATTGCCCATCCTTTTCCCTTGGAACAGCTGGTGGATTCAAATCTCATGCCTTCAGGATTGCAGTACAGATTCTTAGCACTAGGACACCAGAGCTCTCTGATTAGTCACAATGTTATCGTTGTTGTTTACCATCGAGTCAGAGCCAACCTATAGCTGACTCTCCAGCAGCTTCAGAGGCAGTTAATCACACAGGAGGAGATTGCTCAGCTTTCTCCAATACAGCAGGTTGTAGACTTGAACTGTGTGCCTTTGGGATTACAGGGTACCAGAGCTTCCTAGGGGAATGCAAATAAAAACCCTAGGAGATAGCATTTCATCTCCACTAGTTATCTATAATCAGAAAACAATTGTTGGCAAGTATGTGGAGAAACTGGGACATTTAACCATTGTTGGCAGAACTGTAAAATGGTACAGGCCACTATGCAAAGAGGTCCTGTAATTTCTAGAAAGTATTAAACATACAACTATCACATGACTCAGAAATTCCATTTCTAGGTATAGATCCACAAGAATTGAAAGCTGGAATGCAAACAGTTAACTGTACACCAGTTTTCACTGCAGCACTATTCACAAGAGCCAAAAGGTGGAAACAGCTTAAATAGATAAATGGATAAATAAAATGTGGTATATACAAACAATGAAGTATTCCTTAGCCACAAAGAGAAATGGAGTCTCAATACGATGTACATAATGGCAACTGTATAAGAACCAAAATCTACCAAATGCTCTGCTGGAGAAGGAGGGGCAATCTCCTCCTGTTCCAGTCACATGCACAAAAAATAATAACACAAATTTTTTTTTTAAAAAAAGAACCAAAGTCTATTAACAGTTACAATAAGTAAATAATATGAATCCTCGGGCAAAGTTACTGCTTAAAGCACTGGTTTCAGTTAAGGAAAATAGAAAATTTTAAAAATGGATAGTGACGGGAAAGATATAAGAAGGCTAAATAAGAACAGAGAGTTGTACATATGAAACATTGAAATGGCAAATGTTTTGTTACACATATTTTACCACAGTAATTTTTTTTAATTTAGTATTTTATGTTTGAGAAAGTTTAGGGTTTTGGTTTAATATTTTTTTCCAATAAGAGCTCTGACAAATTTAACTGAAAGTGTTCCTTTCAAATAATATTTTTCCTTTTTTTTTATTGTGCGTGTACCGTCAAATCAGATCTGACTGGTACAGGGGGGAAATTTTCCCTCCTTCTCTGGCAGAGCATCTGGTAGATTCGAACCATGTATCTCTGGGATTGCAGTACAGCTTCTTGCCACTAGGCCACCAGAGCTGACAGTTCAAACCCATCAAATGCTCTGCATGAGAAAGTTGGGCAGTCTCCTTTTGTCATGATTTATGGCCTCTAAATCCTGACAGAGGCTTGCTTGCTATAAACTGGAATCAGCCTGATGGCTGTGACTATAATTAATATAAAGCTTACTCTTCCCCACCAACTATCTCAGTCTGAAGCTGATCCATTAATAAGGTTGATTTTTTAAAAGCTTCTTAAATAGATTAACACTGAGTCACTAAAGTGAGGACCTATATTTATGTTGCTACTTTTTATATCAAATTCTATAGCTCAATGAGTGTCTTTATAAAATCAGCAATTTAAAGTAGCAGTTAAAATTATGAAATAAATTTGCTAAATTATTAAGAGATAATGACATTGCTACTAAGTCAGAACTGACTCACAGCTGACCCTTCAGTGGGTTTCCCAAACTATAAATCGTAAGGAAAGATATTGCCCCTCTCCAGTGGATTCAAACCTCCAGAGAGATTCGGCCTTAAATTAGCAGTGCTATACTCCCTACAGACTAGGCTACCATCGTATTAAGAGATAAAAAATATTGTTTAAGTGAAGAACTGAAAAACTATTCTCATGTTAAAACCTTTTCACCCACACAGGATTCTTCTAACCATTGTTTTTGTTATGTGGCATCAAGTCGCCTCCAATTCTTAATGACTCTATGTACAACAGCTCTGAACCCTGCTCTACCCTGAGCTAACCTTACTGTCTCTGACACATCTACCCCCATTAACCTAGTCATTGAGTCAATCCATCTCATCCAGAATCTTCCTCTTTTTCACTGTCCCTCAACCTTCCCAAGCATGATGTCCTTCTCCAAGGACTGGTCCCTCCTGGCAACATGTCCAAAGTATGTCAGACAGAGCCTCACAATTCTTGCCTCTAAGGAGCAGCCTGCTTTCACCCTCTCCAGGATGAACTTGTTTGTTCTCTTGGCAGTCCAATACTCTTCTCCAGCACCACAGATCAAAGGCATCAATTCTCCTTCTATCATCCCTAGTCACTGTTCAGCTTTCTGATGCATAGCACATAACTGAGAAGACCATGACCTGGATCAGGTGCATCCAGACTAACCCTGTTGCACTTCAGTACTCTGGAGAGGTCCCTGATGCAGACTTTCTCAATGCAATTCATCTTTTCATATCCTGGCTGCTGGTACCAAGAGTGTTGATTGTGGAGCCAAGCAAACTAAATCTGTTAACAATCTCAATCTCTTCACCATCTACCATGATGCTTCCAGTCAGTCCAATATTGAGAATCTTAGTTTTCTTGATGTTGAGCTTCAACCAATACTGAAGGCTACCATCCTTGACCTTCTGCAGCAAGCGCTTCAAGTCCTCCTCAGTTTCAGTAAGCTCCATTGTGTCATCTACATGAAGCAGGTTGTTGATAAGTCTTCCTCTAGTCCTGATGCTACATTTCTCCTCATAGAGCCCAGCCTCCTGGATAATCTGTTCTGCATATAGATTGTAAAGGTATGGCTATAGGACACATCCCTGGGGTACACCCTTCCCAATTCTGAACCATGCAGTGTTTCCTTGCTCTGTTCTGACTACTACCTTCTGGTCCAAGTATAGATTTTGCATAAGCACAATCAATTGTTCTGGGATTCCCATTCTTCTCAGAGTTAGACACAGTTACATACCTTATATTTACAGTCTTCCCCAGCAGATAAAATAAGATCATTAATTGAATTCCAATCGACTTTTAAAATAATGCCGTCATGAGCCTTCCACTGTTAAGAGGAAAAAAGATATTAATTATAACTTTAAAAGCACAGAAAAGTATTTTCTATACAAAAAGACATTTTGTCTCTTTCTAATGATTTTTCTCTTGCCCTCATCTCAGGAATCTCTACAATCTTTGTATAGCTCTTGTATAATATCTCTTTTATTTATCTAATTGTACTTACAAAAGCATCTACGTACCATGAAATCCATGGTACAGTTTGTTTACTCAAAAATTTCATTTGCAAGACTCCGTATAGAAAAGCACTTGTTATTAAATTATTTCAACCTTCATATTTATGTCATATTTATGTGATAACACTTCAATGAATATGTCATATACTCTAGAGATATTAGTTGAATCCAAATCTTGCTGTCACCTTTTTGCAGCTGACTTCATTAGTGATCTTTCCTTCTTGCTTATTTTCTCTAACCTCTACTATAGCACCTTATTCTTTTTGTTGTTGTATGTCATCAAGTCACAACTGACACAGAGTTGACCATCCAATGGGTTTACAAAAGCATTTAACTGCATAGGAGTCCTGCCTATACTTCTTCCTCAAAGCAGCTGGTGAATTTGAAGCACATGCCTTTCAGACTGCAATACACCAGAGCTCGTGATCAGCTTCTTTGATATGCCTATTCTCTTCTAAGATAATTATTCCCCAAAGCTTCATTTTCTTTCTTTTTATATGTTCAGGTTCATAAATAAATTACTCTTAAAAACTTCCTACTGTAATTGTCATATATACAAATATATATATATATATTCTGAAGTTAAGCAGCAACTACCAATCTAAAAAGTTAGCAAATTAAAATTATGTCCCTGCCTATTAGCTACTACCATGTGAAATTAAGAGCTGCCTTTCATCATGCTTAGACGGAATAATATAATTAAGAAAGAATTAATAGTCCTTGAAGACTACATTGTTGTTGTTGTTATGCGCCGTCGAGTCGCCTGCGACTCATAGCGACCCTATGTACAACAGCCCTAAACTC